GAAAAGCATTGTACAGAGTCACAACTCGGAGAAAATGCGAAACAGGTTCTTTTAAAATGCATTTTCATCGGTTACGCTTCGAATGATGCAAAACTGATCTCTTTTGTTAGAGCATCTCGCACCAATTCATCTTCAAAAAGCATGTGAGTTAAGAAAAGTCAACTCTAATATGATTTTGGAAATTATGCGAAATGGTTTTACAAAAAATTTGCTGATTGCATTGTTTTTGATCCTCAAGATGGCGGCGCAGGTCTTCCTTAGCCAAGGTCAGAATTAAGTTCTTCTAAAACTTCAACGAATTACGTCGTTTTCTAAGGCTGTTTAGAAGTTAGGCTAGTATTGAACATCAGAATATATTCTACAGTTATCTTCTGTTAGAAAACTCATTTCACTACGTTTTCATTCAAAGAAAACGCGTTTCGTAGCATTGAATCTAGAATTCTGTAAAATGTTGAAGAATTTGAAGAAATTCAGTAAAGAATGATGCAAAAATAATCCGTAGGACAGCTCAATGTTGTTGTGTGAAAAAAGTATTTTCGGATAATTTACGATTTATAATAATAATTATTGTTAATTTATATATGGACTGCGTTATAGTAACTGATTATATACTCTCCGAAACATGACTAGAATATCACTTTCGTTCGTACACTATCGATGTATGTAAGTGCGGCTTTTTGATAAAAGAGGTTCGTATTACAGAAAAAATATTTTTGTAGTTATGATTGCACTTGGATTTACTGATCATGGATTTACATTTACAAAAAAACATTCAATTCAACAAAAACTTTGCAAATTTTGCAAAATTAAGATTACAGTTCTTTTGGATTTAAATTTACGAAATTTAATCTTTTTAAAATTTTTAATTCAATTTATATGAAATTAAATTCATTTTAATTGGGTATTTAAACTTTAAAAAAATAAAGTTTTACAAGTTTAAATTTCTAAAAGTTAAATTTAAAATAAATTGACGGAAAATGACACTCTTCTTTGGATAAAACCAGCAAAAAGAATATCATTTTTCATCGATTCATTCAGACGTGAAACAAAATTTATTCGAATCATAAATTTGTACAAGACATCTAAATAAGAATAGAGCAAACACTTATATCATTTGACTATTTTAGTTGAACGGTTTGTATACATATCGTCTATTCTTATGTTCTCCTGTTCGAATCCACCTCTTAACTTTATCGAAACTAATGTAAGTTAACTCTATAATTCTATGAATTAATGTAAACCAGTATATAGATCGCACCTGCAAGTTGAGTTCTACGAAGTAATTGACGGGTTTTGTTTTTTTCTATCCTTCAACGTATGCAATACCACAGATTCAGAAACACTGCGAAATGATTTTAAGAAAAAATCGTTTCGCAACGTTTATTTTAGCAAATGTGAAATGCGTTAAACCGGCCAGCATTAACGCGTTTTGCAGCTATGAAAAAAGGCGTTTTCAGAACAGGTTTTTTTCGCAAAAATTTACGCCATGAGTAATGACGAAAAACTCAAAAAAAACCAAATTTAGTAAAATCACTATTCTCTATAATAATAAAAACAAATTCGAGAACGCTTCATCGATTGTTAGATTATTATTTGTAATAAAGCATGATGAATGCGTTATGAATTAATCGATATATCACATTAAAAACTCCCAAAAGCAATTGATAATTTAAAATGTTAATTAGCATAAATTTTATTGTTCAAACGATTCTATATTACTAATCATAAGTTTCAAATCAAGTTAAACCACTGTCATAATCGTTTGCAAGGGAAACCAACAAATTCGACAAACAATTTTCTAGTCAATTTCATTTGTTTTTACACATACCATCTATTATTAAAAATAATCATTAGAAATATCGTCTTATAGTCTTATCTAGGTAGTAAAAAAGTATATGTATATTGATATAGTATAGAAGTTCTAGTGTTGATAAAATTTGTTTATTTGATTAATTCTTTGAATAATATATAAAAAAAAAAAAAGAGGAAAGATTATGTATGTAAGTTATAAATGAAATACGTAGGTTTCTGTTAATTCAGTGATCAAATGTATACTCAAATGCATATGCACATCAACCTGACTCGATATGCGTAACCTAGATGAAGCTCATTCATCCGGAGGATTGTCGATTGATATAGCAAAAAAAAAATGAAGCGAGAGAAAAGTAAAAATATATTTCGAAAATCGTTTCATACGCTTTCGACACCGTTATAGACCGAATAAATTCTTTCAGTTTCTTTTTTTTTTTTGTATAATATCCACCATCATCCCTGCTTATTTAATACAACATTTTGCGACGGTCGATTAGTAACATATACATATGCACAGAAGAGAAAAAAACGAAAGAAAAAGAGGACTAACATTATATAAAACTCACTTGTGCGCATATGAACTTAATCCTTAAGTCGTTACCTACGTCTTTTTCCTTACTCATATTCATTTGTATAACTCTTTTTAAATCGATAGAGCATAAAACTCTCATTTATTCTCTTTAACAGTAAGTAGTTCGTTTTTTTTTTAATTTATTTCTATCGATAGAAATATTTTAATATGTTAAGTAAATTATTATAATTCTTCTCAATCAACCATCCATGCATCCATTTTTTTTCGTTCGTATATGATTTTTTTTCTCTCTCATACATTTGTATTTGTGTGCAAATATGTAAGCCTTTGATATTGATATTCATATTCTTGGGACAAGATAGAATCTATCAAATACATAGTGATAAATCATTATGTAAAAAAAAAAAAAACGAAAAGCGAAGGTTTTTTGACCTAAATAATTCTATGATGATCTATCGATTCTTTTTATCTATTTTTATATAAACAATTATCTTTTTATCATTTAAAGAAAATTTCTCTTTTTCATTCGTTATGTTTCTTTTTTTTGTTGAAAAAAAAAAAGACAATAGAAGTGAGAGAAATATTCTCGAATGAAAATGAAAAGCAGAAATATTGTCGTTTAAAAATCTTTTGATAATTGATAAAGAAGAATGTGAAAATTGTTGTTCTATCATTTTCAGACATCTAACTACTATTTAAATCAGTTTCGTATTTATTTTTTTCTTCTTTTTCTTTTCCAATTCTCAAACCATTTGTGTTTCGATCGGTTCGCATGTTGCCTTCTACAAAAGTACCACTAAATCTCCTCGAGTATATATCTATGTACTTGCCTTTTTTCAACGAAATACATCTGCATATATTCTCGTCGTATGAAAAAAAAATCTTTTCTTTCTCCTTTGTCTAGATTGACTGACAAATATTACTACCAGTTTTATATTTTAAATAACAAACGAAGAAAAAAAAAGAAAACTAAAAATCTAAACCTTTTCTTATGTCTTTTTTTTTTTTGTTGCCCTCTTTTACATACACATCGATATATATATATATATATATATATATATCATTTATTTAATTCGTTAAAAAGAAAATAAAATTGAAATGATATCTACTTATTAAAAAGGTATTGAATAAATTTTCTTATTATATATTTATTTAATTTATTTATGATTCTATTAAAATTTAAAATCATAAATCTTTTATTTCTAAAGTGTAAAATTTATAATTATTTCTTAAATTTAATATTGATTAGTTTTAGTTTTTTTTGCTTCATAAGAAATAGTATAGACATGTCTATGAATATTTGTATATCTTCATTCACATACAGGTAAAAGTCAAATATATTAAATAGACATGTAAATGTGAGAAATCGATTTCTCTTATTGATCGTACTCTTGATGAAATAGATCGCAAAAAAAATTCTCCTTTTTTTAATATCACACCTTTTTTTTCCTTCTTGAAAATAGTAACATTTATATTTATATATGATATGAAAAGAAGATGATAATTAGAAGATCACTAAGAGAAGTAAACGATACAATGTGTATCTATACGCGTCTTTGGCCTTCGTCTTTTTGCCTTCGATTTGCTCTCTCTCTCCTCTTTTTTTACGAAAAACTGCGCGCATACAAGCGCATCATATGTGCTATAGACGAGCGCATCCTTTCTTCTTCTTCCCTGTTCTCTGCCTGACATGTTCTATAATCACACCAATATTACATGTAGATGTATGTGTGCGTCGAAAGAAGACGAATATAGAGAGAGAGAGAGAGAAAACGAAAGAAGCAAAGAAATTGAGTATTGAATGTGTATAATGAAGAAGAAGAAGAGAAGAATGTTGCGCTTACATCGTTTTCTTTCTTGTTATAGGAGTCCAGAAAAAACGAAGATGTAAAAAAAAGATTTTTTTTTTTCTTTGCCGTTTTTTCTCTTGCTTATCTATACGTGCCTATTATTATTATCGAACCATACATATATTTATCATAAATCTTAGCAAGTTTTTTTATTTAAATTCTACTTGTATTTTGTTTAAGAATTATTTTCTATAATATATGAATAGTTATTTTAGTTTCAGATTCAAATTCCTATTGATTATTGAGTTCGATGATTGTAATGCATTGATGATAACTGATCAGGTAGGAGAGAAGGTAGTGAAAAATCAACTAGAGATAATGATCACAAAAAAAAAAAAACCTTTTTTTTTTTAATTTATGGTATATTTCTTAATGTTGACTACAGTTACAACCTATCATCGATTGATCGATGATCAGTCGAAGAAAATTTCGTGTTCGATGAATGATTTATTTCTATTCTTTTCTTTTTTCTCTCTTTCTTTCCAAAGCTTTTTCCAAGCTCTTACCTATACGACATACCTGTCATAAAGCAAGGCGACAATGTTGTTGTTGTTGTTGTTGTTGTTTGTTGTTGTCAGATAGGCAAGGGACGATGAAAAGAAATCATATAAAATATCTATCGACGAATAGATCGGTAAAAGAAATATTCATTGAGTGATAATCAATCGAAATTGACGTGTGCATATATTAATGTACGTATGATTTTGTATCAATCGTTATCAATACATTTACTTAATATAAACTATTTTTTACCCTCTAACTCTTCTCCTTCTTTCTTTTTTTTTTTTGTTTCTTAAGCACCGGTGATGAGTGACGATGCTTCGACTGCTTATATTTGTATCTATTGTCCGTTCAATTCGGATAATCTTACAGCACTCGAAAATCATTTGACAGGTATTAACTAAATATTACCTTGACGTTCTTTCTCTCTCTCTCTATTTATACATATATATATAAATTTAGGTGAGCACGGACATGGGTGTCAAGATACAACACTAGTACAATCATCATCATCATCATTGAACATTATAACCAAGGCCAATAAACGTGAAGCACCTGATGATGAACAGGTAAAATTTGAATATTGATCTGATTAATAATAAAAGTTTTTTTTCTTTTTTCAAATTTCTTTAGTCTCAATCTTCATTCGACGGTACTAAACAAACAATAGGTAAATATAATAGATTATTGTTGTTTTTAATATTTAGTTTTATTTTCAATTAGAACAATTATCAGTTGCTAAACGAGTTAAACGAACAACATCACCAATATCAACTAGTTTATATATAAATACTAGTGATGAAAGTTCTCAATCTGATGATGATGAACGAGATTCATCATCAAATCCAAGAGAAATATATTCAAATACAATATTAACATGTCCAATATGTGGTTCAAATTATAATCGTCTTGGTCATCTTTCACGACATGTTAAACGAAAACATCATTTAGATTTATCAAATTCGGATTATTCACAAACATTTGATATATTAAATAAATCAAATTTAGAAAAAAATAATTCAAATCAACAAATTGATACAAATAATTCAAATAATTCAAATAAACAACTAAGTTAATTAAATAATATTTTATATTCTTAATCAAAATAAAAAATTGAATTTTGTTTTAGATGATATATTACCATCAACATCATCATCATCAATATCACAAACAACAACAACAACTGATTGTCCATATTGTGATTTTAAAACAACTGATATTGAACTATTTAAATCACATATTGTTGCTCATATACGAGATAAAAATTATCGATGTTTATTATGTAATCGTTTATATAAATATCGAGGTAAATTTTGTATTATATTAAATTAATTAATTCACTAATAAAACAATATATTTCTCTTCTACAATAAAAAGAATTTATCTATTCCTAGAATAGAAATTTTTAAAAAAAAAACACCAAAGACCTTGATAATGTTTTAGGTGATTGTTCATTTCATATACGTCGTAAACATCATCGATATAGTATTAATTCAAATGATTATATTCAACGTTTTTTATTTGATACAACTGATGGTGATGAATCAATGTCAACACAATGTGGTGGAAATGGATCATCTGGACATAATTCAGCACTAAATACAAATATAACACGTGAAACAGATGAACCTGTTCGTTATTTTGGTTGTCCTTATTGTGATTATACATCCAATTATGGTGGAGATGTCAGGTTAAATTAATTATTTTATGCTTATTTATTAATTAATTCAGTTTTTTTTTCTTTTTTGTTTTAAAGAAAACATCAAGCACGTAAACATCCAAATGCTGAATCAAAAGTTGTTAAAATAATTCGACAAGAATGTGAACAACAAAATATTTGTTCAAATTTAAATGGTTATGATGAAGATGATAATAATCAAAATATTAATTTAAACAATAAAATAAAATCAATTAAAAAATCCGATAAAATATCTCCTCAACAACATTCATCATCATCATCATCATTACCTATTTTATCCAATTTTGCGCCTGTTAGAGTTTTTCAATGTAGTTCATGTCATCAACAAGGTACATATAAATGGGTTGTTGAAAGACATATACGTGCTAAACATCCTGAACAACCAAATGTTCATGTTATTGAATTACCAGCTGAATTATCAGTTAAATTACAAAAAATAACACCACCATTAAAACGTTTTCGTTGTTCATTATGTCCATTACAATCGAAACATAGTTGGGTTGTTATTCGTGTATGTTTAGTTAAAGAAAAAAAAAATTATTTTTTTTATTTTAATTTAATTTTAATAGCATATTAAACATTTTCATACATTACAAACAGCATCTGTACTTGATATACAACCAGATGGAAAACCAATCAATGATGATTCATATACATTTCAAAGTAAATTTTTTTTTTTTAAATTTAATCTAATAATATTTTTTTTTGTTTTTGTTTTTTAAACTAAAGATGATTCTTCAAATAAAATCTATAATAATGAATCTGAAACATCATCAATAAGTAGTTCATGTAATGAAAGTGGTATTGATATAACAAATCAACAAGATATTGAAGATGATAATATTCAATCATCATCATCATTAAATAATAAAAATGATTCAATGATATTTATATATAAATGTTCATTATGTGATTATCAATCAAATATATCATGGAATGTTCAAAAACATATTAATGATAAACATTCAGAACAATCTAATGCTTTTATTTTAACACAATGTCAACAAACAAAATTATCATCTAATGATAATAATAATTATCAAAAAATTCATTCAAATAAAAAATCTAAACATAAAAATGGTATAAATAGACCATTTTCACCAACAAATGCTTTAGCTAAAGCGAAATTTTCACCAGCTGTTGAAGAAGCATTACTTTCATTACAAGGTTCAAAATTAAATCCAATTCTTTATGCTGTACAACCAAAATTTGGTATTAAACGTTTAAAATGTCGACATTGTTTTTATCGATCAAATTGGAAAACTGATATGATTAGACATGTTAGAATAAGACATAATTTAACTGAACCTGATCATAATAGAGGTAAATTAAAACAACAAATTTTATTAATTACATAAACAGACAAATAAATCTCTTTAAATTATTTGTTTATGATAAAGAATATTTTTGTTTTATATTAATTTAACAGATAGATTCATTTAATAAGAATTATTGAGAATAAATCGACAAATGACTAATCAACTTTCTCATATAATGTTACATAAAATTAGGAGAAAATAGATTGATAAAGAAATTTTCCTCTTTAAATCCATTGAATAAATCGAATTTGATCTTGTTTTGATAAAAAAATATTGTTATTTTTGAAAAAATCTATCAATTAATTGATAATAGAGATAATAGTGTAAGCATTATAAATATTTGCGGAAATGTAGTCATATTTGTAGGTGAAAATATTTATCACCTTTGAAAAATAATAAAAAAAATATTATTGAAAATCTAAATAGTATTTAATAAAAGATAATATCTATATATATTTCGATTTTAAGATTTATCTTTATATATAATCAATAAAAATAAACTATTTTATTATATTCATTTAATTATATCTTTATTAAATTCTCTTTAATCAAAAAATAAAAATAAATAGATGAGAAAAGAATCTTTATCAACATTATTTTATTTTTAAATTTAAACTAATAAATAAAAATTAGTTAAGAATATTTAATTAATTAATTAATTAATTAATTAATTAAATTGATTAGATATGATTATAATGACTGAACAAGAAGCACGTTCAACAATTGAATCATATGAAAATACATTTGGAAAAGAATTACGTCGACGTACATTCCGTACATGGAATGATTGGGCCAAAGCTGAACAAGAATTCACACCAAAAGATGGTTCACTTCAATACATTAATCAAGTTGATTATTTTTTTTTTTTTTTTTTTATTTTTTTAAATTTCTTTTTATTTTAATTAGGCAAATGCAAATAATAGACAATCATCAAATGATAATAATATATCAGTTTCAAAGAAACATATTACAACAACAACAACAACTGGACAAAAATCATCATCACATCATAATGAAACAAAACGTTCAAATAAAATTGATCTCAAAATAGATTCTCATCAACAATCACAAACAAAAAAAAATAAAAATTTTTCAAATCAATCAACAACATTAACAAAAGATGATGTAGGACATTTTATTTATATAAAAAACTTTTTAGACATAACATTTCACCTTGAAGAAACGATTTCTGACGAATTAACTTAGAAACAAAATTTTATCTCAGATTTTGTTCGACAATAGTAAAATATAGGATTTGAAAAGCCCAAAGAAATTTGTTTCGACAAAACTCGTGGATCGATGTTTTCGGTAAATATGTTTAGTTATTTTGGCCTACTTCAAACCATTTCAAACGAGTCAAAAACTATAGATCGCGATCATATTTTGAATAGATTTACGTGCTTATTTATAAATAAAGATGACAAGTTCCACTTTCGAATCGCAATTATCAAAATACAAAAATTTTTCGTCGAAATTAATTTTTTGAACTTTTTCAAAGATTATTTCACCACCCTTGAACAAAAACTGAAATAAAATTTCTAAGGTCATATTCGAAGAGAGCACAAAATAGCACACCTAACTCGTAGGTTTTGACTTGTCGGAAATATTTTCTAGGAGTCCTAGTGAATGTACTCAGAAAGCCTCAACAAGGTATTCGATATGGGTACTTCGAAAAATTCCAGTAATTATACTAATGTAGATATCGCATTGGCCACCCATAGCAGTATATTTACCGAACAAGTACTTCTATGGATACCCGCACCTTTAATTTTACTGAGGAAAACTCTAGAGGATATCCTAGATTTGTCGCGTTCTGTGTAGCAACTGTTTATTCGTCGTTTTCTTTTGCACACACGACTTCATATAAACAACTCGACGAAACATAAGAAATGAATTTTTTTTCACATTAATTTTTTCTAGATTATTTCTTGACTATTTACTAGTCGAGAATATGCCGGTCTCTATCGTAAATTGAGAAAGAACTACTCTAAAGTGATCTGATAGATATCCAACCAACTCAGGTCTGATCAGATTCCGAAATGTGATCTGCTTGAATTTTTAGGATTGAAAAAATTAAATTAAACAAAATTTAAATTCTTTTGAGAGAAACAAAGATGAAAAAAGTCAAAGGTTAGATTCGATCACATGATCAAGTACCCATTTACTAGACACTTTCCAGGAGGATACCCGCCCCAGTACCTTATACGTGCCTAAAAATATCCGAAATTTCCTGTGACATATTAGTAGCAGGGTAGTTTTTCAAGTACCCTTAGCTGAGTACATTCACTAGGGAGGGAGAAGGGTCAAATGTGAATAAAACGTTTCCGATGACTTGATAAATGAGATAATTAATATGATATTTATTCTAGAGTAAATCATTAAAAAATGGGTCGAATATTGTATCTCGTTTACTAGTAACAAGATCACCTTCACATAATAATGATGATAATAATGCCCCATTAGATCTTTCACTTAAACCATCAACAAATATAAAAAGTAATCAATTAAATATATTAAAAGATGAATTAAGAGAAATTGAACAAGAAGAACAGAATATTGATGATATTGATAATGATGAAATATCTGATGAAAGTTCAACAGTAAATTATTTATGTTCTGTATGTCCTTATAAACATTCGAATTGGTCATTAGTAGAACGTCATATATCAATTCATTTAACTGGTAAAGGTATTATTTGTCCACTTTGTTCTTATACAACATTATCACATAATTCAATGATACGTCATATGACAATGATTCATCCAACTAGTCACATAATAAATAAATTTCAACAGACAACTCAAATATTAAATGCAGATATTATTGAACAATATCAATGTCCATTATGTTCATATCAATGTGATTGTTTAGAAGCATTAAATCTTCATCGTCGTCTTGAACATGATGATGAAGAATTTGATATTGATTCATCTGATAATGATAATGATGATGATGATGATATAACAGCTAATATAACTAAAAATCTATATGATTGTCCATTATGTTCACCATTAACAAATCTAAATAATAATAAAAATCTTGAAGAATTAACAATGCATGTTATTAATGATCATAATAATGAAACATGTCCATTTTGTTCATTTACAGTTCATACAACATCATCAAATACATTAATAGAACATATTAAACTTCATTTTAATGGAACACTTATTCAACCTGATCCAATTATTGGTATTGAACAAGTTAAAGAGTTATTAGTACTTGAATAGAACATACATGACATTCATCGAGTTTTTCATCTTTTTTCTTTTCTTTTTTTTTTATATTGTTATCTGTTTTCTTTTCGTTTTGCTTTCTTACGGTGGTAGTGATTTTTATTATTTCTCTTTACTTTAATTCTTTTTGTTTTCTTGTGGTAGTGAAACAAAAACAGTATTTGACTGTGTTATCAATCGAAATTATGTTTTTTTTTTCATTGCAAGTCAATTTTCCTTTATAAAGAAAAAAATATAATTATATCATATTGGTATTTTATGCTTTTTTTTTTATTTAATACTCTTAGATATTATCAACTTTCATTGAGAGTTAAAATATTAAAACAATAATTATTGATTTATAGCATTTGTTTGTTCTTGTCAGTTTGGATTTTTTTTATTGGTTAATTTCTATCAATTTATTTTTGCATCATATATCAGTAATCTACGAGTAAATTTCTTTATTAATAGTTTAATTTTCAACATGCATCATAAGATTTGTTTATTCATCATATTTATGTGATATTCTGTACTCATCATGTATCAACTTTTATTTTATTTAGCCTCGAGATTCGTATTTGACTTTGAAATTTATCAATAAATATTCACTGATGAAAAATCTCGAGGAAAGTAACTCTTCAAAGTGGATGGATTCATTTTCAAATTAGTTTATTGAATTTTTTCTCTACATATTAAATAACTGTTTCCGTTTCGCAGTATTTCAATATCTATGAAAACAAATCATTAAATCGATGAGCTTTTTCTCTGTCTAATATCGTCTCTTTGTCAATACACTAAATCATTTTTAGATCGAAATAGAAACAATCAATAATCTTTCTGACAAACAAATTTTTCTCTCATTAATGTCCATTTCAAAAAAAAGGCGGACGGGTATTTTGTGAATAAATTTGCACCACAACCATCTATCGAGTTCGAATTTCTTCCATTTGGAAAGAGGCTTTCCCATCACATCGATTCACATAAAATTATTGAAGGTCACTTTATGAACTAGTTAGTGATCTTATGTCATCTTGGAAGACTAGACTGTTGCTCTATGAAGATGGAACGAATTTTAAATTTTGAGAAGTGAACTAGAACTACAACCTCACACCCAACAAATCTACAAAAGATCCAAGTTTTTGTCAATTTCATTTGGCGCGTAACATATTTCAAATTATTATCACCGATGTTTTCGATCATGGCAAATCGATTGACAATGGTTATTTTTCTAAACAACGGGTCTTTTTCTATCAAAACATTACTGCTAATAATTGTGCGATATTGTTTTTATATGTAATTTCATTTTCAACTTGGAATGCATCTACCATATCTCATAGATGCCTATGATTACAAACAACACGTATAAAACCATACTTCGATTGGACGATCTTTTTCGTTCTGATTTACGTTTTTTTTTCTTCTGATCGTATTCACAATGTAATTTCATTGCTGCTACTGAGGTCTACTATAAAAATGGCTACAAGCCATCAATTCTCTCAAAAAATGAAAAAGATATTTTTCAATGTTATCAAGTTTGTGGAAAAAGAGAAGCATGGACCTATAATTCTACTCTTCACTGTAAATGAACGACTCTCAACCATGTTTGATATTCCTGTAAGATTTGTCGACAGATTGAAGAACGAACTGAACGAGATATCGAACATCAGATGATGCAAACAAAGAGAAAATGGATGAGAAGAAACAGAAAATTGAAAATCAAAAATTTCACATGATTAGTCGACTTCGAAACCTACGATGAAGATCATCGTCCTTACCAACCACCAACAATAACACCATGGTAGCCAGTCTTCTTGTTCCTAATCAACTGTGCAAATTATCGAATTTTGGTCGTCCATCAATCGTTCTGACTGAACAACAACGAAAGAACATTCTGTGGGTTTGATTTATCCGAAGATTAATATCAGCATCAGTATTTTTTCTAGTTTTTATGCTCATTGCCATTTGACAGAACAAACTACCTTCCACCATCGAGAAAATTCTTATACGTATTCTAGCCGAAGATGCTAATTTTCCTATCCAATCGAATATGTTGTTATGGGGTTGGATGAGAAAAATTCGATTTGTATATCAACGAACATCAAAAGCCGGTGCACCTCTCGATGCTCCCGTATGCGTGGTTGCACGTGCGCATTGCTTTGCCACAATTGATGGACTTTGCAACAACGGCTGTAACATATTTTGGCATAATGGGATATATTGTAACAAAAATGAGACAAGCTATTTTGTTTGAACTGTTGGAATAATAGGTTTAGGTCAAATTCGACGCAGTCAGGGCAAAGGCATCCATAATTTCTTTTGTAATCCAAATGATTAATGATTATCATTATAGGCAAAAGACTGACAACTTTTGCTCTTCTGAACGAATCAGGATTCTACAAGAAAATAATTGACATTTTCGAATGTGATGAGGATTGTTCTATGGATTCGAGACATTTTCTAATCTATATTGATTGAACAGCTTTTCTTTTGAGAGAAGAGTTCGATTATATGATTTTTAACCTTTTACCATAGGCTTCATCGTTGACATGTATCGGCAAGTATCCCAAGATTGTCTTGGTTGTTGATAATGTAACATAGGATAATTAGTTTACTGAAGATATAATTCCTTTCAGAAGAGCATGAAGGAAAGAACTTATCGTTCAATGGCTATTGAATCACAGTATCGTAGTCTTCGGTACAGACGCTAAAGCTGAGTTACTCAACTTCACTCTGGGGAATTTACCAACAAAACAACGTGATCGATGAGATAGCCAAAAAATACGATGTCGATATTTTACGGTTAGTCAATGCTCTTTCAAAGCACTTTTGACCGTAATACATGTGTTTTCATAGTTTACCGGTGAAGCATTGTATGCTCAATTCAATAGAATTAGGATAGGCTGGCTAAAAAGAATTATGTACATGATAAAAACGTTAACTTTACTCTCAGCAACCTTCGAAATTTGGCCTCACAATGGATGACGTCTTTGAGTATAGTTACAGCTATTGCCTATTTCAATCAGACGCGCAAGATCGAAGGCATTTTCAAGAATTCCAATGAATTCACTGAAATAATCGAGGAACAGTTGGGAGACGAAGAAGAAGTCGATTCCGAGGCAGAACGAGTGGATGATTAACAACATGCGTTGTTGTTCTTTTTCCTTTTCGTATTTGTTATTAAATACGGAATCTAAAATTCTGTGCTTGCAGTTTTAAGCGCCTATGATATATGGTAGATGCATTCCAAGTTGAAAATGAAATTACATATCAAAGTAATATCACACAATTATTAGCAGTAATATTTCAATAGGAAAAGATCTGTTGTTTAGAAAAATAATCATTGTCAATCGATTTGCCATGATCGAAAACATCGGTGATAATAATTTAGAAAATGTTATGCACAAGGTAAAATTGATAAAAATTTCGATCTTTCATAGATTTGTTGGTTGTCAGATTGTGGTTGTAGGCCACTCCTCAAAATTTAAGATTCATTTTATCTTCATAGGGCAACAGTCTAATCTTCCAAGGGGATCACAGATCACTACTAGTTCATAAAACGAACTTCAACAATTTTATGTGGATCGATATGTTGAGAAAGTCTCTTTCAAATAGAACAAATCCAAACTCAATAGATAGTTGTGGTGCAAAGTTATTCAAAAAACACTCACCCACATTTAAAAGGCGCAGTGTATATTTTTTGAATAACATCTGATAGATAAAGAGGTGTAGTTTTCATCATTCGAAAGAGAAGATGAAGACATATAGAATTATGTATTATACGTTTTCCTAGTATGTTACCTAAACCTTGCCTAATCAATTTTCTATGTATGGGAAAAAATGGTTTTTTATTAAAAAGAAACCAGAAAAAAAACTTTTTTCACAGAAATGATTAGAAAAATCATTTAGAGCTTTAACTACAAAATCTATGGTTCCTGAATAATTAACTCTAAACATCTGAAACTCGTGCAGTTTTCTAGATCTTCCATTGGTGATTGAAATATGCACAAGACAATTGAAAATTTGTCGCAAATGCCTCATGAGTTAGATTTGTTTTCAAAGATGTCGATTGAAAACCTTTAAAAACCGTATAATATATGATTCGATGCGTCTTCATTTCCTCTTTCGAACGATGTAAACCGCCGCTCTCTATCTCGTTTCAATCAGAAATTATTCAAAAAATATCTACTCCACCGTTTTTTAAACAGATATTAGGACCATCATCGCATATGACAGAAAAACAGATGTTATCGAACTTTTATTATTATGATATAACTTGAAGAATAATTTAATAGTGTAGAAAAATCAAGCGTTGTTTTTACTATCAGTCCATGCAGAGAAAAAATTTCTTTAAGCTTCTCATAAAGAACTAAAACACTTTTGCCACTAGTTTTGGATAGCTCTAAGTATTATTTTTTGTGTTTTTATGAATCCTATCATTATCTAATCTTTCTAATATGTATTTGTGTATATATCACGTATGATTAGAAATGTGTGAGACCAATTTTTATAAGTTGAAATCATCCCATATCTCAATTTATTATTAACTTTTACTAAATATCTGCTTGCTGATTGCTAATTTTTGGTAAAAATAATCTATGACAAATAACCAAACGGGAACAAACTGATTTCTCAAATTAGTAGTTATTTCTATCATTGGAAAACAGTTTTTATCTGTTCATTGTGAATCAATATGAATCATTGAAAATGATTAGAAATGAATGAGAAATCAGAACCCTAATTTTCAATCTTATTGCAGAAGATTTTCTATAATTTCGTTTTTCACTATTTAATCGGAAAAAAAGATTTCAACTTGTTTAAATCAGCTTTTTTTTTCTGTAGGTGAAAAATTTGTCATTCATAGGAATTAATCAATATTGATCATTGACTTAACAGGACTTAAATGCACTTATATATATATTTATTTATTCGTTAATCATCATGACTCTTTTACGTTGTTTTATTGGTTAAGAAAATAAACGAACAAAACTTTGATTTAAAAAAAAAACTAATTTTAT